ATCTCAGGTATTGTTCTAGAACCCCATTCATGTGTTCATACCCCCCATTCGTTTCCAGCTGGTGACTGGAACTAAGCCCTTGGAATGTCCCAAGAATTTTTAAAATCTCTTGCCAGAATTTGGAAGGAAATTGCACTCTGCAGTCAGAAATTATTCATTACAGACTTCCGGTTCCAGTTCGCAGCGTCCCTAGTCACACGGGGAGACTCATCTCCTTGTAGGCTAGTCTTCGCTCCGCCAGTAGACCCTTATGCGGGTTGAAAGTCACCCTGGAGAGTACGACTTCTGTCGAGGAGGCTTTGCTCAGCTGTGGAGAATCGGCGGCTCCTCCAGCTGTCCGAGCTTTCTCTGAGGGCCGATGGAGAAGAACATCAGCCAGTAAAATGGCCAATCACCCTGCCACTTCAAACCGCAAGTCAAAGAACATCTAAGCTGTAAGAATCCCCGTGGTGAATCCGGGTGAGACTTTTCCTTGCTACTCTCTCTACTCTACTTTGTTTTTTGTGCCTGTAAGAGCTTTGTTGGAATTATTTCGCTGGCTTGAAAAAGCAGCTTCTACATGTTTGGAAGAAAGGCGTTGTATAAAAATAGAACAAAATTTTAAAGACTATATTTTTTTCCATATTTTTGGGGGATACAGAATTTTTTTTTTCTCTTTCTAAGAACTTATGCTGGAAGATTATTTCTTTTTTCCCATTATACTTTAAAAGATAGAAAAAAGGAAATGTTGTCGGAAAAGATCTTTTTTTAACCTACTGAGGACATCTAGTGGTGAAAACTTAATACTTCTGGTTACTCTTTGAAGATGGAATAGACCTGACCTTCAAATTATTTTTGAAGAGAAAAGATAAGCTGTGCAGCTGTGGGAATTGTGGGGGTGGACGCTGCCTAACTTTTATTAAATATAGCCTCCACAAAAAAGAAAAAAACTCTTTTTAATTACTATCAAAATGGAGAAACCTCAGTTACAATTAAACTGTAAACTTATATTGGAAAAGATTTATGCGGCTACTGCAGAAATATGTGCTACAATGAAAGAGTTTACTACAGAATTAAGATCCAGAAATCTCACTTCAAACATCCAAACTGATATCCAGAGTAGATCTGACTATTCTCTAAATCAAAACATACTAGAAGAGGAATCAACAGAGATAAAAGAGGAACTTATTCTATCTTATAAACCTTCCATCTGTAACTTTGAGGAACAGAAGAAGCAAAGACTGAGATTTGAAACTACAAAGCAACGATGCTTTAAGGATGAGAGAAATAGATGCCTAATGCAGAGGATGGGATTCCTATCCTTTCAAAGGCCACTGCAAGCAATAAAAATAGATCTACTGGCTGAAAGGGAAGCTTGGTTATGGAAACCTGCCTGGCTCAGAAAAAAAGCCAGAATCAGACTGAAAAAAGAAATTTAAAATTGTGTAATGGATTAAAAGGCAATGTTGGATTTATGGACTGTTTTAAGGATTAAGATTTAGAGTTAGAAGTAAGAAATATATATATATAGGAGGGTGATTATTAGAATAGATATTTTAAATAGATTAAGAATACCTTTTGGAATAATAGATCTATTTTGATGAAAATTATTATGTATTGGAATTGAAAAAATGTTGACTTTTTAGATTTGGATGGTTTCAATAATTAACTGAGTGGTTTAGATTAGTAAGATGACCTTTCTGTGTGATAACATAGATGTGATAAGGCATGATAATCAGTTGGATGAAATTTGAATTTTGTTTAATGAATTGAAATGATTTAAAATTTAATATTATTTTGTTATCTTAAAGAGATTGATCAGTTGTGGGATTATATATGTATAGGGTAGATTAATTTTTTATTTTAATTAGGATATCTATTGTGTAATGGAAGAAGAAATAAATGAGATTGGTGATAAAATGAGGGATGTGAGAAATTAAGATTTAGAATATAACTGGAAGGGATACCTGAATTGATAACTTGTTGATTTAAAGTTAAATTTGATTATGGTAATTGTAAACTGACAAAGTTTTAAAACAGGTTTAGCAGTAATAGAAATTTAAATTAGAAATGGAATATTTTAAACATATGCTTTTTGAGGGAAGCAGAGAGGACAGTGAATGTATTGAGTTGAGTTGTTTATATATGTTTTCACTTTTGAATGTTTGATTACCCAAACACCATGGTGTGTCCTGAGTACCTTTTTTTAAGAATTAAAAAAACCAATAAAATGTGTTTTAAAAAAAGAAATTATTCATTGCAGAGCACCGGGGAGGCTATAGACATGGTAGATGAACAACTTAGCTAAGGTGCGGGCAGAAGGAATTTTTTGGCAGGGCACAAAATGCACTTGTTTAGAAAACAAATCAGTGATCACCCAGATTACAGTATTTCCCAAGCTTTCTGGTAGTTCTACTATGATGTCCATAGAAATTTCTTCTAGGGGGTGTTAAGCTCTGTCACCAGCTGGAGGAGTCCTGGTGGTTTCCCTTGCCACAGCTTGGCTGAAGCACAAAGTGGGCAGCTGGCCACATAACTTTGAATGTCTTTTTTAAGTGACAGCCATCAAAACTGGTGCTTAATTAAATGTAATGTTTTTACAAAGCCAAAATGTCCTGTGGTTTTTGAGTCATGGCTCTTCTCCAGAATTAGTAATCTTTGGCCTTCAGGAACATACAGGCTAGACCGTCTTGCATTGTACATTCATTTTTGTGAGCTTGGAACCACTAGTCCCCCTCTAATGCTGCCTTTATGCCTTCCCCAATCTGGGAGTTCGCTTTTGCCTATGCTCTGGTGATGACTGGTGCTGCAAGCTGGCAGGATGGAATAACTGGTCTGACTATTTCCTGCTTGGAGCTGTTGTATTGAGGAATCCTGGTTAGTGCATTGGCTAAGAATTTTTTTCCCCTGGGAGGTAGTGGAGAGTGAAGTTAAATCAATTAAAGTACTAAGCCCACCAGACTTGCTTGGGCAATAATGTCCAAGGTGTTTTTAGGGCTTCTAGGTTTTTATGGTCAGTATACACCTCGAAAGGGGTCTTGCTTCCTTCCAGGAAATACCTCCATGTTAAGAATGCCCAGCACATAGCATAAGCCTCCTTCTCTCAAACCGCCCATCACCGCTAAGTGTCAGTCAATTTTCTGGAGGTGTATACACATCGTTGTAGAGACCCCTGGCTGTTCCTTTCTAAAAGAACTGCCCCCACTGCCACATCGCTAGCATTATGGGGCATTAGCACTGGTTCAGCAGCAAACAACCATTTGAGTTTTTTACATGCTGCATGGCATTCCATTGTCCACTTCAGTGGCTGGCTAGGTTTGGGTTTCTTCTCCCCTTTTGCCTTTAGCAAGCTGGTGATGGGGAGGGCAGGTTGGGCAAATAAAGGGATAAATTGGCGGTAAAAGTTTACGAACCCCCAAAAGCTTTCCAATTGCTTTCTGGTGAGGGGTGGAGCCCACTCTAACACCACCCTAACTTTCTCAGGGTCCATCCTTCATGGGAGATGCGGTAGCCCAAGTAGTCAACTTTACTCTGGTGGAACTTGCATTCTGAAAGTTTAGCATATAGCTGAGCAGCCCAAAGTTTTTTAAGCACTGCCCTGACCAGCTTCACATGGTCCACCATATCTCAGTATAAATCAGTATATCATCCAGATAGACCAAAACTCCTTTGTACAAGTGCTCATGCAGCAGTTTATTTATCAGCTGCATGAAGATACATGGGGCCCCTGTAATCTGAAGGGGAGGACCCTGAATTGGAAACACCATAAGGGGCAGTTAAAAGCTGTCTTCCATTTGTCTCCCTCTTTGATCTGAGATCGATAATAGGCTCCCTACAAGTCCAACTTAGTAAAAATCTTCCCTTTGGCCAAACTGGCTAATATGTCTTTCATTAGGGGCAGTGGAAAGACATTTTCCACATACAAACCATTTAGCCATCTATAGTCTATGCATAGGCACAGGAACCCATCCCAGCTGGATGAACCCCTGCTTTAATTTTTTGTTTATAGAAGAACATAATTCCTCCAGTTCCCTAGAGGTCATTCAAAACAATTTGGATTTGGATAGTTTAGCCCCTGGCAGAATCTCTATGGAGCAGTCCATTGGCAGGTGAACCCTTCTCACTAAACATGCCCCGCAAATCCTGGTACTCCAGTGGAATTTGGGGATTGGCCTTCTTCTGCTCTTGCAGCCCCCACCTCTTGCATTGCAGCCCCTACCTTCTGCTCTTGCATTAGAGCCCCCACCTCCTCCTTTTATGATAGGAAATTGGGAGGGGTATAGACAGTTGAGGAAGAACAGAGTGTTTTGGAATCTGATTCATGCTGGCATGCTGGCATCTTCAAGACCGTTTACCCTGAGAGTGGAATTTCACCAGCCCAAACACCTCAGCATTTCCCAAAACATCTTGTCGGTGTTGGATTGGCTACACATGGATGTACCATGGGGGGATGGCTAGGAGGGACCAAGGAGTTAGTTCTGTATTGGTAGGTGGGAACTTTATTGTCCATTTGTTCCCCCTCCCTTCCCCGATTGATGGCAGAATGATAGGTAGCTGTTTTTCCTGTTGGCAGGCAACATGTGGAGAGAGAGTAAGCAAAGCTGGGGGATCCATCATTTCCTTTCCTTAATTGTCCATATTAAAACTATAAAGACAAGACCACTCGTGAACCTGATTACTATAGCAGAATAGGGCTTTGCTGGCAAGATAGCAGATTTTATGCTGGCATATTTTTCTGCCATCTAAAGGACTTGTGGATTGCACTTTAATGTGGCCAACTGGCTGTGTCCATATGATAGCACACAGAAATTGCCCTAAAAATTAAGAAAATGGGATGGATTAAGAAAATGGGATGGAGAAGCCATAATGCAGAATGTGAGAAAGTTATGCATCAAAATATAAGAATGTGTACTTGTGAGCCAAGTTTAGATCTGAAGACATAATCTGGAATTGAGATTATCAGTATTGCTCTGAATTACTATGTCTTTTGCACAGCTGACTCCTCATTTTTTATGTTTCAGACACACTGAGAAACAGAAACTAGGGTTTGTGCCACCACGGGATCTGGGCAAATACAGTCCTCTGATCAAGAGTCAGTCCATGACCAGCATCCAAAAGAACAGAGGCAAGGAAGAAGCCCTGATTCCTTTACATCAGACCAAAACCAGGAGCAAAGTGCAGCGTACTCAGAGTGTCCCAACCCAGACCAAGGCATCTCGACATCTTCACAAGCAGAGTAGCATAGAGCACATGGTTGACAATCAGGATAGCAGCCCTCAGCCTTATGACTCCTATCTATGCAATGGTGGTAGCCACAAGGCATCCCAGGTAAGCAGAGTTTTAGAACAGATTGCTCAACTACTATATTAAATTGATGGCTCACAAATCCCTTTAGTCCAGTTTCAATTTCCTGGAAAGCTGCTGATATAACAGAAAAGAAAAGCTTTTCCACAAGAAGACTGGGCAATCTCTCTCTCTCTCCAGTACTACAGAGAAGACAGTCCACCTTTCAGACTTTCTCAACATTTCTCCATCTGAGCTCTGAAACCTGGGAGGTTTTCTTAATGTTCCTCCTAGTTTTCCAGCATGGAGATTCCATTTAAAGGGCATTTTGTATTGCAAGTGGATTAAAGTATTTCCATGTCTCTGTAATTGTTCTCTGATTCTTGGTCTCTTCAAACTCATGTTCTTCTGCTTTAGGGATGCTCAAAGCTCCATCCTTCTGTATCGCTGCGCCAGAAACCATCAGTCCCTTGGTTACGACATTCGGAGGATGCATCATCAATGCAAAATTGTCTATACTCCATGCAACCCCTGGAACAGGTATAGGAGTATTGTCCTCAGAGAAACACCCACGTGCTTAGTTTTCTGTTAATCTATTCTTAATTAAAAATCCATCCAAAAAAAGGATGGAAAAGAATGTGTGCCGTTGAAAGTTGCATACATGCATCTAACAAAAGTAACTTTTTTAAAAAAAGTGTTATGATTCCAGAAATATAATGAATGACCACCATTCACCTATATCACTCTGGGTGGCTTATCCTCATTGGGGATGCTTGGCCAATGAGTCTTAGATTTGATAGGTCAATAGTCACAAGTTACAAAAGAAGTTTCAGAAATGGAAATCTGTTGCATGTTAATTTTCCTGTAAGAGATTGCATTAGAAGCCCAGCTATGCCTTCAGAGGTGAGTAACTGAGACCCCTGCACAATGGCAATTGACATGTTGCATTGGACAATACAGAGAATAGCCTCAGGAACACTTCTGCTTTGGGGAACATATTTTTAGTTTATATTTCCCAGTTCTTCCCCTATAGTTTTGTAATGGAGGAAGAAGTGAAACACTTATTTTCCTGTTGTTAGGAATCATAGCAATTACAAATTTAGGTTCAAAGCATAGCTAGAGCCATTCATAGCCATTCTAATTTACTAGGGAAACTTCACACAAAAGCAATGTCTAGAATTTTACACTACAAATATTTTCCCTAATTGGGGAAAGATGAGACTAGGAAAGAAAATCCTCAAAGCTGCAATTTTATAGTGGGTCAGCACAGTCTAAATATGTAGCTCCAGCAAAGTGTATTACTGAAGTAATCTTGTCTACTGAATCCAGTACTTTCTCAAGACTTCTTAAAACATCATTGGAGTCTTCTCCAATTATGATGAGAAGAGACTAAAACATCCCTTTATCCAGCTTTTCTCTGCTCCTGCATAGCTTTCCCTCATTCTCCTAATCTTGAGCCCTTGCTTAGTCTTGAGCTCAGGGTTGCTCTAAACTTCATTACTGACCCTCCCTCTGTCGTTCCCTCCCCCCCCCCCCCCCGCAGTATACAAGGCAGATGGAAGTGCTGCAAATGAAGCTGAGTTCAGCCAGAGACAAACAGCAGCTCCTGGAGGAGAAGGTGAAGTCACTGTTTACTCAGAATCAAGCGCTGCTGCAGGAGCAGGCCAGATTTCAAGAACGAGAAGAGATTCTTGGCAAGAGGCTAGAGGAGACGGAACATGGCCTAGTAAAACTCAGCAGCAGGTAGGAGAAGCCAGCAACAGGAGGCAGAGGTACATCCTGTCAAATGTGATGATGGGGAGGGAGGGGGAGCTGATAGCCCCCTTAGAAATTTTCATTCTTTTGTGTTTCGGGATTCGAGGCATTGAAGCACGACACACCATAAACCAAGTTTCTTTATTTCACCTTAACTCCACTCCAAGCAAACTGCAAAATGGGCACACAGGCCTTTTATAGTTTTCCAACCTCCAGGCAGTCCAGCCAATAGGGATCTTTCTTTCTTTGTGCCTTGCACATGCGCAGTAGTCCGGCGCCAGCCAGTCTGGTCCCGAGCAGCTTTTAGATTGCCCGGGACCATTTGCAACATTTCTGGGCCTGCTGAGTTTCCTCATCAGGCCCAGGACACAACAACCCTCTCCCCTAGATAGAACACACACAATTCCAATTTTTTTCACAATAATAATAAACAAAAGAAAATAATATTCCTGCTCACATGCAGGCAACATTCTTATAAAATAATAGGGTTATCTAAACAACCCACCCTTTAATGTGGACTTCACATTATGTGTCTATCTTCTACCCAACATAGGTCCCATCTCCTTATCCTAGACCAGTAAGGTTTCCTTGTGCTGACAGGAACCTCACATATTCACCTAGATGCTTAGGAGGGGCTTTAGCCCTTTGTGACCTATGCAAAGTCAGGGAGGGTGCCTGGCCTATCAGCTCACCTGCCCGGCTAGGCAGACCAGGACTTTTACTTAAGGGCACCTGGCCTACTGGCCCGTCTGGTGGGCTCGCTAGACCAGGACTTTTATGCACAAATTTTGCAGGTGACCCCTGGTGAGGCATGCTGGCAGAGTTGTCGGGGCTCTCTCCAGGCTCCCTTAGAGCAGAGGAAATTCCCCAACCCACTGGAGTGGCTGAGGACTCCCCAACTACCCTGGATGGCTCCAGGGAATTAGTCCCTCGAGCCCACAACCAGTCTCGGATGTGACCTGCATTGCAGGTGTGCCTCAATAATTCCATTCCCCCGTGTAAGTGGCTGGGGTGCCAGAGTCAGGAACCGCCTCTACAGCAAACCCCTCCTCAGGAGAATTCCTGTCTGCAGCTCTTGTGGATATGCATGACTCCCTTTTTGTTGCAGTAACTGAACCGTGAGGATGCCCTTGCTCCTCCCTGGGGAAGTCCTAGTGACCAGCGGTAATTCCCAGGAACAGTGAGGCTGGGTCTCAAAATGTTGACCTGAAGTGTGATCTAGTTCCTGGCCCCCCTCCCCCCCCCAGAGTGGAGGCAGGGGCGGAATCAGCAGGGGACAACCGCCAGCGCAGTTGATCGATGTGACGCTGCAGGACGTGGCCGTCTACCAAAGTCACTTCATATGATAGAGGTCCAGAGATCTTACAGATGACAGCAGGAACCCAGAGATGTCCAGGACCATAGTTCCTTGCCCAGATCGGATCACCCACCGGAAGTCTCCTAGGAGCCCGTGGCCATGACACCTGTGAAGACACCCGGTGTGGGTGCAGTCTGTCTAACTTTGTGATGAGGCGGCGGCCCCAGCGGAATTCAGCTGAGCTCTTCCTGGTGGCAGTGCAAGGTGTGGTGCTGTGTGCAAGAAGAAAGTCTGCTAACCTGTGATGCCAGCTGCCATGCATTAGTCTTTTGAGTGCGTCTTTGGTGGTGCGCACCATTCTTTCAGCTTGCCCGTTGGTGGAAGGGTGGAAGGGAGCTGACATTGCATGCCGTATCAAGTTGGCCTGAAGGAAAGCCTGGAACTCACAACTCCACCATCTCATTAGGAGTCATAGCATACATACGAGGTTTTGGAAGGGTTGCCCCTGCCATAATATCAATGGTACAATCAGTTGAGCGGTGTGGTGGTAGCACATTGCATTCCCGTGCATTGAATACATCCGCGAGGTCAGTATATTCTGATGGAAAAACAACCTCCCCCTCCTCCCTGGTTACTTGATCAGTTATAATCTCCTCTCCTCTTTTCACTTGCTCATGAGGAGGTGGCTGAGGACCCACACCAATACACACTCTGTGATACCCTTCTTCCCACCATATGGTTGGGCTCCATTTATCCAGCCAGGCTAAACCTAAAATCACATTTTCCATCATGGACGGAACTATTACAAACCGTATTATCTCCCAATGTTCCCCTATCTCTAATCGCACAGGCTCAGTGATGTAGGTGGCAGGCACCCCCCCCCCCAGGTAAGGACCTATCTACTTGCTCAAACCATACTGGTGTATGTAAGGGCCTCACTCTAATGCCTGTTTGTCGTACTATAAGTTCATTAATGAGACATCTAGCACACCCAGTATCAAGTAGGGTGTTACTGTTTTCGATGCCCTGAATATGTACTAGTGACTGTGATAGGGAGGGTGAATGGATGAATGGGTTTGCTCACCATGGGATCTTCTGATGTCTTTACATCCTCCTCGTATAAGAGCAGTTGGGGTCCCACTCTGCTGGTCCCTTCATCGGCCTTCAACCTCTCCCCTTGCGGCATTGAACTCTCGATATGTTGTTGTGCTGCCCTCATTCTTTCAGGCATTTTCCTCGATGTACTTTTTCCTGGCACTTCTACCCTTCCCTTAGGAAGCGGCTCTAGGCATTCTGCAGCTCAATGTCCCGGCAGGTTGCATCGAAAACAGCGAAAGTTTGGATGAGGTAATCCGCCAGGTGGAGTAGATACTGAACCCAAAGGCCGGAGTTGTTCCGAATTCCTGGGTGGTACCAGCTGGCTATCACTTCTTGGATGAAACTCCTGCAACCCCGTGTCCAAGTCCATAACTATCCAGAACCATTCTTGTAATTTACCTGGGATCCCCCGGTATACACATGCCTGCTGCAGTTCTCTATCAAGCCCTGCCCGGAACTGGTGTACTAGCAGGCGCTCAGGCCACGTCTGTAGTTTGCTAGCTACACATCGGAATTCCCTGACATACTCTGCAGCCGGTTGGCCCCGTTGCTTTATACCTAACACCTCCCCTTCTGCCCTCCAGATTCTAGAAACGTCCTCAAAACAAGTTCGGAGAGCCCCCAGGAATGCTCCAATATTGGCTAGCTCCCTAGCATGGTCACAATGTAGATCGGCCACCCACTCCATAGCTTCTCCCTGTAGGGCTGCTGTTACTGCTCCTACCACAGCCCACTGAGAGGGGTAAAGGTGGCCGTATCTATCCATGTGGCCTATGGCTTGACTTAGGAAAAGGCCAGCCTATCTGGGTTCCCATCAAATGTCACACTAAGGGGTGGAGGACCCCAAAGAGAGCCCTGTGACCATGATCTGGAACCCCATCCAGGTGTGGGTGAAGGACCTACCAAGGTCCCTCCCCCAGGCACAATAGTCTCTGACCCCCTTGGGAGTGGGCCTCCGGGACCTAACCTGACTCCCCGAGATGGCACTGTGGAAAGCTTCCCTGGACGTCCTCCCCATAACCTATCTATGGGTCAATTGGGACTTGAATCCCAACCCTTCCCTGGTATAAATCCCCTCCACAGTTAGAGTCAAGCTTCAACTTTGGACTTGCTAAGCGAAACCGTCATGTGGCTGATTGGATGGAGGACAAACCAACTTGTGACCATGACGTTGTTTCTGGCCCTGGGACCCATCGCTGCCAGGAGGACGCATCCTGGTACCCTCCTTCTCCGAATTGCTCTCGCAAGAGGTCCATGATAGTTTGGCCAGGGGCTGTGGCATAGCTCCAATGCTCCTTGTCTTCGTCTGTCATGTATCGTTCCTGCCACTGGGAGGTTATCTGACCTTCTTCCCCTGGTCCAATTCCATATCCCTCTGGCATCCCAGTCACTATAGGACTTTGCCACCATTTTCCGGCAAGGGTGTTCCCACCCGCTGTCATTCCTTGGGACCCTGGGACATCAATTCGAGGGTCTACTAGGCTGGGCTCCACCACCTTAGGGCATACTGATGGTTGTTCAGTAACTGGAGGGTCTGTTCTTACCTCCTCTTCCTGGACATCATCATGGTCAGCCTCATCTGGAGCAATATCCTGTACACCTTCCGCCATATTTCAAACTGCAACCTATGCCACCCACCTTCAGGTCAACAAACCACAAAGGTGGACACAGGAACCAGGTTAGGCACAAAAACACAATGGAAGGTGAAACACAAAAAGGAAAACAAGGGGAAACCTCAAAAAGATTTGAAGTGGGGTGAGTGCAAATTTTTTGTCAGCTTTCCTATCGGACCCTTGCAGGAAAAAGGAAGACACAGGAACACCTTCATCCAACAAACTCCGGTTTACTTGAGGTAAAGCGATGACATTCACACAGACCTTAGAACTCAGGCTCTATGCCTTACAAAGTTTGCGCTGGGAGCAATCGCCTCCCAGCACTGTTTAAATACATTTGCCAAAACCGTCCCCACTCTTCACCCAATTAGTTATCAACCACACCCCTGCCCAATAAACCACAACCCCACCCAATCACCATCCTACGTCCCCACCCTCCTAACACCCAACCAGCACCAGTCATCAATCAGGGAAAATAGCAATTCCATCTGAGGCTTTTCTGCGACGCCCTGCCCGGCAATGCAATCTTCAGGCTACTGCCCATCAGCTGTTCTCCGGCTCGCCACTCATCAGCTGTTCGATGGCTTAACTGTATTCTGCACAGGCGCAACAGCCTATCTGCCCATGCACAGCATCCCAAGCTCTCTGGAACTGCCCGTCGCTCGCCGGAGGATCCGCGACTCGTGCTTCTTTCTCAGGACGGTGAGCTGCTTTGTGCTGGTTCTCCTCCTCTGTCACCAGGCTGTTCCCCCCTTCTTTGTGTGTCGAGCCAAGGAAGGCTTGACACCCTAGCATTGACGGGAGATTCTGGTAGTTGCTGAATAGAAAGAATATTAATAGCAGGGGCAGGATCTGCCTCTATGTGAGTGAGAGGTAGCCTACTGAGACCATCAGCATGGCCCATTTCTTTGCCAGATTTGTGAATGAGTATGTAGTCATATGCTGACAGAAAAATGGACCACCTCAGCATATGGGGGGGGGGAAATGATGTGAGGGGTTGGTTTGGTCATTGTAAACAACCCTAGAAACGGCTTGTGGTCTGTATAGACCATGAAGTGATGGCCATATAAGAAATCATGGAATTTCTTTATACCAGCCACTATTGCCAAGACTTCTCTGTCAATCTGAGCGTAATTCTACTCTGCAGATGACAGGGTCCTTGAGTAGTAAGCCACAGGAACTTGTGTTCCATCAGCCTTTAGGTGACTGAGTACTGCACCCACCCCATAAGGGGATGCATCACAAGCGATTTATACAGGCAGTTGCTCATTAAAATGGGCTAATACCGCATTTGATGAGAGCAAGGCCTTGACCTCTTTAAAACTCCTGTCATGGACTTTAGTTCTCTGCCATGGACCTTGCTTGTCTAAGAGCCGGTGTAACAGATCAGCCACAGCAGCCTTATGGGGAAGGAAAGCGTGATAGAAGTTAAGAAGTCCCAAGAAAGCCTGAAGCTCACTTTTAGACTTGGGACTTGGGGCCTCCTGAATGGCCTTCAACTTAGATTCTACAGGGTGGATGCCTTGAGCATCTATTTTAAAGCCTAAAAATTCTGTAGAAGTAACACAATTTTACATTTGTCTTTTTTTAATTTGAGGCCCACTTGACGGAACCTCATCAACACAGCCCTTAATCTTTCAGCTAAATTCTGTGATGACTCCCCTGCAACGAGGATGTCATCAAAGTAGGGGAAAAACCCCAGAATACCCCTGAGCATGTGCTCCATGATGCTCTGGAATATGCCAGGAGCAATGTTCACCCCAAATTGTAAACTTTTTACTTTAAAAGCGCCCCTATGGGTCACTATTGTTTGGGCTTCAGCAGTTGCCTCATCAACAGGTAGCTGTTGATAGGCCTGTGCTAAATCAAGCTTTGCAAACAGTTTTCCCCCTTTAAGGGAGGCCAAAATATGACTTACTACTGGTACAGGATATGCATGCTGCTGCAAAGCTGTGTTCAGAGTACACTTATAGTCTGCACAAATTCGGACTTCCCTGTTAGCCTTTAAAGGCGTCACAATTGGGTTTTCCCATGGACTTGAGTCCACAGGTTCCAAGATGCCCTGCTGGAGCAGCTTGTCCAGTTCAGCATCAGTCTTGCCCTTGAGGGTGAAGGGCACCCTCCTAGGCTTAATCCTAACTGGTGCGATGTTTGGGTTTAATCGCAGTGCGATGGGAGGCCCCTTGTATGAACCAAGCAAGCTCTGAACTAAACACATCTGCACACTCTTTGCAGACTCCTGCAATTCTTAGAGTTTGCAGACTATTCAGACCAGTCACCTGAATTCCCAGGGCCTCAAACCAATCGAGTCCAATTAGACTCGCACGATCACCCCCAACAGCCACCACATCTAAGAGACCTTGGAAAGCCTTATGCTGCACCTTGAGTGTGGCTTCTCCTAGTACATTAACCTTTGAATTTTGAAAGTCAGTAAGAATTAAATTTGATGGCCTGAGTTTAACTCGACGGCCACTACTGCAGCAAATCCTTTTAAAAGTATTGTGTGAAATGATCGATAGAGCATCCAGCTCCATCAATAAGGGAACCCCTTGTAACTGTACATCAATGCGAAGCTTCTTTTTAAGGGGCTTGTGCCTCCCTGTTCGCAAGATGCTTCTACACGACGCACAGAACCCCACCCTGTGTTGGCTGGGGACCCTGGTACCTTTCCGAAGGGATTCTTCCCGAGGTTGCACCTGCTGGCGACCCTAACAAATGGTGGCAATGTGGCCTAGCTTGCCACATGCCTGGCAAATGGTGGAGTGGAACCGGCAGTCTGTGCGCTTGTGGAGTCCTCGCAACCGAGACACTGAAGGGCTGCTGGGGCCTTGTCTGGTTTCTCTCGCGGTCTTCTTACCACCGGATGGTGAAGTCTGTCCACCTCCTCTTCAGGATCCGAGTCTTGTACTTCCTGAGTAACCTCTTGATGGACGGTTGCAACGGCTGGAGTGTTTCCGGCGAGCTGCAGAGCCTTCACAGCGCCGCCCGCTGCTTCTTCAGCTGCAGCTTTGCGTAAGACATCTTGGAAGGTGACTTCAGCTTTAGCAAAGATCTTTTGTTGCAGCTCCCTGCTTCTAAGGCCGCAGACAAAATGGTCTCGTAAGCGTTCTTCCAGGTCCTTGAATTCACAAGGCCTGGCAGCTTGTCTCAAAGCAGCGATGAACTCAGCAGCAGACTCGCCTGGCTTCTGATTCCTCTGATCAAAAGCATGCCTCCATGCAATCACAAAAAGCTTGGAGTGGAAGTGATCCTTCAGCATGTTCTTTAGATCTGTATAGGTGACAGACTCCAGCGGTGCCGGGGCTACCAGGTTCTCGGCTACATCGAAAGTGTCTTGACCGCAGATGCACAGCAGGGTTGCTGCTTTCAAGCCGTCTTCCCGAACCTGGTTGACCCTTAGGTAATTTTCCACCTGGGCCATGTAGGAGTTCCAGCGCTCCGGGTGAGAGACGTCGAACTCGGACAGATATCCAATCTTTGACATCTTCTGGTTCGAATGCCTCATTGCAAGCCTTCGTTGAGGGAAAGGGCCCATTTGCCAAGCTCACCTCCAGCGATGCTGTACTGGCAGGTGAGTACAGAGCTGGACACCGATTCCCAGGCTTCAGGCTCTTCAGATGAGGTTTATCCTCTTCTTACTGCCTTTTTGCTTGCAGCGATCCCATCCTCATCGCCACTTTTGTGTTTTGGGATTCGAGGCTTTGAAGCATGACACATCATAAACCAAGTTTCTTTATTTCACCTTAACTCCACTCCAAGCAAACTGCAAAATAGGCATGCAGGCCTTTTATAGTTTTCCAACCCCCAGGCAGTCCAGCCAATAGGGATCTTTCTTTCTTTGTGCCTTGTGCATGCGCAGTAGTCCAACGCTAGCCAGTCTGGTCCTGGGCAGCTTTTAGATTGCCCGGGACCATTTGCAACATTTCTGGGCCTGCTGAGTTTCCTCATCAGGCCCAGGACACAATACATTCCATTCAATGTCTAAGTTCCAGTGTATTAGGCAATACAAATCCCATGGCAGGGGATAAGAAAGGGAACAGTCCAAGTTCCCTGTTCTGGGAATCCAGCAGGGCATAGTTGGGATTCAACCCATTTACGCCAAGGAGCCTATTAGGAAGTAAAAACCTATTGGGGCTGATGAACTGAAGTAGGCACCCATGGCCTGATCTTTCCTGCCATTTCCCATGGCAAGGGCAGCAGGTCTGAGCTACCATCCACTGCTGAAGTCTTCTGCTGGCCTGAAAAACAAACTAACAAACAAACATGGCAGTACAATCCTTGCATTGGAAAACACAGTTTGATGAAGTATATTGTTGGCTGTGCCACTAAGAATAATTCTCATGTAGACTGAACATCTGCAAGGTTTCAGATTGTGGAAAAGGTATCATTTACACAGAAAGTGACAATGCTCATGTGAACTTCTCTTTGTTGTTCTAACTTTGATTTGCTCTCAGTTTGCTTTTTTTACTCTTTCTTTTATCATCCTTCAAACTGTTGCCAGGGTTATCTTGAGGGTCAGTGGCTAACTAGCAGGGAATATGGAGAAGGGTTGAAACCACAACCCATCTGAGGTGAGATCTGAAGGAGACTTGACTGCTATGTTTCTCCAGGGTGTCCTGCATAGAGGCCAGCTGGAAGAAGGATCATGAAAAGCTGCGAGCAAGTGAGGAGAAGACCAAACAGCTGGTAAGAGCCCTCCAGAGGTAATGTGTAGTTAAGGAGAGAAAAGGGAAGAAGGATCTTTGTTCAACAGGGATAGTAAGAAGGGCAGGCAAAAAGTTACTCCAGAAATAACAGAACCGTATATGGTAAAGGAACACATCTGATTTCATTAAGATGAGATAAAAGTTATTAGATGAGACCAGAGACATCCACAGGTATGTGTAACAAAAAAGACAAAATAGCATGTGCAACTGAAGAATCAGTCCTACCTCTTTTATATATGCTCAATTGAAGTCACCATTTTGACTTTTTTGTCCCTTTTCCCTTCTTCCCAGATGTTCCTGGTTGGGATAGATAAGTATTTTGATCCATTTGAATTTTTATATGAGCTCCATGTTCCATGTTGTTGAAACAAGCTGTTTGGATTCCCGGTAAATGGCGTCCAATCTATGCAAAGGCTGTTGAAAGTGTTGTATAAATAACAGAAAGGTTCTGAATTATGAACAATAAGTAGAAAAACCAGCACAGAGCTAGCTTACATCCCACCTGGATGGCAGAGGTGTGGAAGGGGTGTCAAAAAAAGAGAAGATGGCAGAGAGGGCAAACAATGCAAGCCCCACCCCTTTTGTACATGCATTGACACTGCATGCAGATACAAAAGGGGTGGGGTTTGCATTGTGGCATCCACCATGTTGCTTCTTTTTACCTTCCCCTGGCAGATGCCATTATGCATTCCAGGGAGAATTTCAACAGGACAGTGCTTCTGTGCTTGAGTTTGTACTTGACTTCTTCCTATCATGAACTACTACTGTAAGCCTCTTATGCTCACAGAGGTGGCAACCCTATTTCCTGGAGATTAATTTGCTTTAGATTAAGAAGTGGTGTGGCATGACTGACTCTCTCCATCATGTGTCTTGCAGGAGCAGCAGCTCTCCAGAATGGAAAGGGACCATGACCGGTTTTTCCGTGCTGTTAGCCAGATGCTGGGTTATCGAGATAACCAACCACATTACGGCAACAACTCTCAGGGCTTGTGTGGATAATAAGATTGAGAATGGGAAAGCCATGTTTCCCATACAGCTCTTGTATGAATACAGAGAAGAGGATGGAAAAATGTGTCTTCCACTGACAAGCACAGCATCGTGTTAAGAGTTCTCAATGGTATTCAGCCATTGCTGCAGCTTCCAATCCATCCCTACCTGAGAGTTTATTCACATACATTCCATCTGCTGGCTTAAGGATACCCTATTTACCATTTCCTGGGTACATATCCTCACTGCAGAGCTGCCTTGGCCTGAAAATGTTTTTCCTGAGAAAATGGAAGAAAATCTTCCTTCCAACCTGTGCATTTTTTTCTGAAGTGATTTCAGCAATAGTTGGAGGAAGAGATGCCTTCCATCAGTCTTGTCAAGTTCACCATCTCTTACCAAGCTCCACTCCTCACATGCTTTTCTCTTGCATAGACCATTGGTTGGAAAAAGTATATTACTAGCTTGCAGTCTAGAGCTCTGTTGTGCTGCTAATGAGATCCCCCTCACCAAATAGCCCAGTAAACTGCCTGAAAAGCAACACTATCAGCCTCCATCCTGAGGTTTGGTGAAAGGCAGACTTGGGGGCAGTGGCTCTTCTATCAGCATACGTTCCTCCTGTAGGGAGGAAGCACATCTACTGTGGCTATGCAGATGAGCCCTGAGATTGCATCCCTGTTTCTGTTGCCTGTGTCAACATCCAGCTACAAGTCTTATTGTTTTCATCTCGTCAGCCTGAATTTGCAGCTTCTATACCTAAAAGCATATATAACCTGCAATGCAAAGGCCAGTCTTGTAAATTTTGGACAATAATTGCTTCTATGCCCAGAAAAATCTTAAGCAAACATGAAAGAAACATGTCCTGTGGGGTTTTTTTTTCTTGTTTTACCTATAAAAGGTGCAAAGCACTGCCTTCTTCCATCAGAAAATTCTGATAATTTATTATCTTGTCTTTGAGGCTTTTTCTGAGCCAGGTGATGTGAGGGATGGGGCTTACTGAAATTAGCCACCCTGGGATGCCCAGTACCTGCCATTATGATCTGCTACCATCCTGCTGCACCATGTGTTAAAGAATAAGGCTCTTCATCCCTATCCCAAGCAGGCTGTTCACACTTGGCTGATGGATGTGGCCACTGGCCCCAGGGCAAGTACTAACCATTTCTGAGATTAAGAATGTGCAATGTTGTCTTCCATCTGCTCTCTTCCCTCTAGGAAGGCCACCTCCACCTGTTCTTTTTCTGCTATGTATCACAAAGTAGCCTTTTCTCACTTGTGTTAGTTTTACCTACATCTGCTATTTATATATATATATATATAGAAATAGGCATTTGGCATTTGGATGGCATTTGGGAAGTAAGGTCCCCGGACAGGAACCTGCTCCTTTAGCTGAGCTGTCTCTGAGTCACCCTTCCCCAGTGGTAGCTCTTGTGTTCCCACCTTTTAGTCTACTAGCCAATCTGAAGGCATCACACTTGATGAAGGGGCCACAGTGGCAATGGTGGGATTCAGCCGGTTTGCACCACTTCGGCAGAACCAGTAACTAATTTCTTGTTGCCCAGGCCCAGAATGGACTTCTGGAAATGGCATTTACACAGAGAACTGGTTGTTCACATATTTGAATCCCACCACTACACAGTGGCATTATTCAGGAGACCTCTTCACAACTGAATCATCCTGCCAAAGCTAGCTTTCCCACCCAGGTTCTCTTTCAAAAAATTAAAAGCTAAGCATTTATCAAATTTCCAACTTTTCCAGATTTTCTATGCAGGGAATAATGGAAATAGCTCTGGGCAAGATATTTGGATAGATGTTTCTCTAGCTGGTCTCCAGAAGAACAATATCTCTTTCTTTCTCATACCAGTTTAAAATGAGGCAAGGCAGTGGCTTCTTTATCATAAATTATGTTGCCATGCAGTCAAGTATGACTGGCTCATGGTTCTGTTATATCATCATATTGCTCACTAAATAGTAATGCACCTGTTGGGCATTAGATGGGATCCTTGTATATCCAGGACTAGACTCTTTTAAAAATACTGCCAGCTCTTTTTTTATTTCAAGCAAGTTTGGTGCTTTGTGGGGAAAGTACCAGATCTATATTTAAGAAACAAGACAAGCACTCTGGAACACCTACTAGTCCTATGCTGCGGGGAGAAGGCTGACTTGAAACATAAGAGCCAAGTTCTTCTACTTGCCAGAAACTGGTTCTGTCATGGGTTAATGCATTATGGGTCTTGAGGAAGAGATTGTGCATGCCCCTCCTGCAGACTGTTTGGATTGCCTTGGGGAGGGGGCAATGCCATTTTGCCTACTTGGTGGAGTATTTCCAAATGTTGCCAGCCACTGCCATTCACTGCTACCTTCTAGATCCTCTCCTCTCGTTTCATCCAGTGGCCATCCTCCGCATCTGTGACCTGTCAGCTAGGCTGTTTTTTTGATACAAATTTAGTATTCTTTTTAAAAAATTGCTAGATCTTGGTCCAAAAATAAACCAACTTCTTTAAGCAACTAGAAAGGTGGCAAATTCCTCTGTTCCAGGCAGCCACCTACTCGCATCCAAACTCACCCCACCAAAGTTAAGGAGAAATATCGGTGGAAGGTTTTCTCCCACCAAGTGACCCTTTGGCGGGAGGGGAAACAAAGTCACAGAAATCTACAAGTCTTTTTCCTTAATTTGTCCCACATTCAGTGTATAGGGACAGCACTACTCACCAGCAGGCAGGACAGAGGTTCAACAATCAGGGCAACAAAAAATTAGACTGGAAGATAACATTTGATGGAATGCTATGAGGAAAACTTGCAACAAATGCCAAAAATAACAAAAAAAGTTTATTTCAGTATATAAGGGAACAAGAACATTTCCTTTTCCGATCAAGGAAATGATCAGTCCACTAATAAAAGATGGCAAGAAAGTGACGGGCAGCAGGGAGAAAGTGGAACAACTTAATTCCTTCTTTTCATAAAATGAAAAAAATACTCCAACCTATCAAAAGCAGCACAAAACAGGGAGACAAAACAGGAATGCAGGTAAAAATAGGCTTTAAAAATTAGTAAGAGTGGTGGTAAAAGATATAGCTTTCATTTTGGGGGCTGAGCCTGAAGAAATACTGAGAGAGACGGAAAAAGTTTTTAGGGTTAATTCAAGGGTTGCAGCAGTTTCTTGTGATAGAAGATTTTTTAAAGAAACCGAGAATGACTTGTTCAGCCTAAAGATGTAAAGAAAAAGAACAGCAGAAGGCGGATGTTGGAATAAAGAAAAGGACATGATGAACTTTTGTAGTAGTTTTT